CACAGTGAAGATAAATATTGACCACATCTACTTCACAGGGCTTAGAGCAGAGTTGTAGAAATTTCACAGGACCACAATTACTCTTGAAAATACCTTCACATCAGCCATAAAGTAGAGCCACATGCCCAGACTGGTATGCCACTCTAGAGACTGTCAGGCATCTTACACAGCCTCCAAGAAGAGAAGAGATGCAGACGGGCTTACATGATTGGCTTACAGATGAACTGGTTGGCTTACATGAATAGACTATGTGTATTTAAAGTTGTTGTTAGCTGCTGCCAAGGCAGCCTCCAATTCATAGTGACCCCAGACACAATGAAACAAAATATTGCTCAGTCCTGTAGCAGCCCTATGGTCACTTACAAATTGGGCCATTGTGATCCATAGGACTTTCATTGGCTGATTTTCAAAAAAAGTCATCAGGTCTTCCTTTCCAGTCTGTCTTAGTTGGGACACTCTGCTGAAACCTGTTCAGTATCAAAGCTACATGCAAGCTTCCACTGACAGCGAGTGGTGGGTATAAATGAGGCACACTGGTCTGAAATTGAACCTACATCTCCCACAGGCAAGAATTCTATCATTGACCAACTAATGGCCTCTGTAACTAAAGCACTGTTGTTGTTAAGTACCATTGAGTTGGTTCTGACTCATAGCAACCCTGTATAGGGTTTCTGAGGAGTGGCTGGTGGGTTTGAATCATCAACCTTGAAGTTAGTAATCAAGTGCTTATCTTACAGTGCCACACCAGGGCTCCAAAGGCTCCAAGAAGAGAACTGTAGCTAGTCTCTCTAGGCACAGCCTTGAGACACTATTCCTGTGATGATGACACTGTGCTGCTGTGTGCTACCAGGATGCTTCCGACTCACAGAGACCCTGGGTTTCCAAAGCTATAAATCTGTATGGGAGCAGAAAGTCTTATCTATCTCCCCTGGAACAACTGGCAGTTTCAAACTGCTGACCTTGCGTGTAGCAACCCAACACATAATCCACTACACTATCTGAGTTCCTCTACCGGAAGTGTATAGCTTCAAATAGCAGAATCCCCTTCAATGCAGAGAAGTCCTGGTGTGGTGCTGTAGGATAAAGTACTGGATGGCAAGGTTGGTTTGAACCACAAAGATGGCAGTTCAAACTCATCAGCTACTCCTTGGAAATACTGTACAGGGTGGTTATGAGTTAGATGGCTCAATGGCATTTAACAGCAGCAACAATGATATGGTGGAGTCCTGGTGTGGTGCTGTAGGATAAGCATTGGACTGCTAGCCACAAGGTCAGCAGTTAAAACCCATCAGCTGCTCCTTGGAAACCCTATCCAGGGTCGCTATGAGTTCTGGAACCCACATGACAGCGATCGACAACAAGAACAATTAGAAAAATAATAGCTTGCGTTTATAGTTTGCTTTACAGTTTTTAAGCTTCGTTAGACTATGTGTCTAACTTGTCCAAACCCAACAATATGAGCTTGGTTGAACAGGAGCAAGAGGGAAACATAATTTAAATTGAGTTAATGATATTGCTTATCGTTGTGTTCAGTTAGCACATTCCCCTGAATGAGCATGAGATACAAGATGGGAATCGGCCATGGCCTCAGCTGCTTTGTAGATAGATGGCTTTGTATTGTGGGTATCTCTCTACACTGAAGTTGTTGGCGCATTAACCCACAGCGCCCAGAACGGCACCATATTGTTTCTTAGTGCTTAACTACAGCACCAACAGAGTTCTTTTCTTACAAAGCTAAATTTAGGATTATTTTAGGATCCAGCAATCTCACATCTAAATATCTACACAAATGAGTTGAAAACTTATGTGCACACAAATGTTTATTGCATCTTTATTCAAAATTGCCAAAGCAAGCAAAATGTTCTTCAAACTGTGGTCCATCCAGGCAATGCAATATTATTCAGCAATAAATGATATGGCCTATCAAGACACAAGGATCTCTGATAGCATAGTGGTTATGAGTTGGCCTGCTAATCTCATGATCAACAGTTCAAAATTACCAGCAGTTCCGCGGTTGAAAGACGAGGCGGCTTTCTGCTCCTGTAAAGATTTACAGCTTTGGAAACCCTATATGAGGGTGCTATGAGTCAGTAACCAACTCCACGGCACATAAGAACCACCACAACCACCATCAAGACACAGAAAGATATGGAAGAACCTCAATTACAAGTTGATTTAGTGAAAGAAGCCAATCTGAAAGGGGTACATAGTGTATGATACCAAGTATATGATATTCTGAATTAAGGCAAAACTATGTTGTTACTGTTGTTAAGTGCCATCAAATCGATTCCAACCCATAGCAACCCTGTATAGGGTTTTCAAGGAGCAGCTGGTGAGCTTGAACCACCGACCTTGCAGTTTAAACAGCTTTGAAGTCTGAAGCATTAACCCACAGCACCATACCAGGACTCCAAGGCAAAACAGTAAAAACATCAGCAGGGGACTGGGGGGAGGGGGAAAGGATGAACAGGTGGAGCACAGGGATTTTCAGGACAGTAAAACCATTGTGCATGATACTATAGTATAGTAGTAGATACATGGTTTTATGCAATTTTCAAAACTCATACAATTAATGCATCACATGTGCCCTAGCCTCCTTGACCCGGAGGTGAGAAGAACTATATGGTACCCAGCTACCAACGCTGATCACTCTGAAAGGGGTCACAATAGGAGTTCCTGGATAAAATGTGACAAGGGAAAATGTTGAACAAAACTCAAATTCATAAAAAAGACCAAGAATACTGGTCTGCTAGAAATTGGTGGAGCTCCACAATTATTGCTCTTAGACACCCTTCAGACCTGAAACTGAACTCACCCTGAGGGCTCAACTTTCAGCCAAATGATACGTCTATAAGGTGGGTAATAACACCAGGGAAGCACACACTCCTGAGAACAATCAACCATATGATTTTCTGATATGTCTACCCAAATAGAGTTCTGTGTCATGGGGACATCTGCACTGTTTGGTGTGGAAAGTTGTTTCTATAGAAACTTTAGGATACTCCTTTAGTTTGGGTACGATGTACAGATCCCATCTTCCCATGAGAAGACAACTGCTAGCGTGCTGCTGGGAGAAGCTGATGGTTTAAGTTGTGTGCCCCAGAGCAGGATTAGCATGAAGCCACTCACTCTTTCACCTCATTCTCCTGTGACTCATAGTGGCTGAAGGAGTGCGGTGAAGCAAGGCAAAAACTGTACTGAGAAAACTGAGGGGCCAGTCTCTTGAACTTGCTGATGCCTACAGCTAGCCTCTCAGATCAGCATCTGTCAGTCCTCTCTCTCAGTTGTCTGTTTCACCCCATCTTCAGCCTGAAAAGACCTCCATCTCCTTCCACATACAGCAACAGACGCCCTTTGCAAAGCAAAATGTTGTCACTCAGACCTGAACTCCACCAAGATAAACACTTATCCTCAAGTGCCCTCTGGGACACTCTGGAAATGTTCTATTGAACCAATATCCTATCAGTCAACCCTACATGTAAAGTACAGGATTCTTTATGAACAAACCTGTGGCAGTAGAAGAGAAACAAAGCATGGCTCAACACCTCTACAGCTCTGCCAGATGCCCCACTTCCAAACTTGTAATACATTAAAAGTAGCATATTTAATTTATATTCATATACTGCTGGTGGTGGTATGCTGTGGAGTCAGTTCTGACTCATAGCAGCCCTGCATAGGGTTTCTGAGGCTGTAAATCTTTAAGGGAGCAGAAAACCTCATCTTTCTCCCGTGGAACAGCTGGTAGTTTCAAACTAGCTGACCTTGAGGTTAGCAGCCTGACTTGTAACCACTACGCTACCAGAGCTCCTTATATTCTTATATCAAAGTATGTAAAATCACCCCTCAATCATAAAACTCCCAACAGAAAAACAACTTTTCAACATGTGTATGGCTATTGACCTAAGGAGCTCTGATAGCATAGTGGTTACAAATCAGGCTACTACCCTCAAGGTTGGCAGTTCAAAACTATCAGCTGTTCTGTGGGAGAAAGATGAGGCTTTCTGCTCCCGTAAAGTATTGCAGCCTCGGAAACCCTGTACACGGTCACTATGAGTCAGAACCAACTCCACAATAATGTGGCTATTGACCTAAATATTTAATTAACTTACTTTGTGGAAGTAACTGCAGTCAAAACAAACACAAATTAACAATGCACTGCTGCTAATACTGCCTCTGAGGAAATACTTCAGTCACCAGGAGAAAAAAATGTTACTAAAAAACTTTTAATTGGGCCCTTACTGATGTTACCTGCCATGCTTGGTGCTACCAAAGATAGATTAAAAGATGAATTAAACAGAGTTTCTGTCCTTTTCCCTCCCTCACTCCATGATGGCCAAAAGCCTACAAGCGTCTCAAGCCAACAGTTTACCACAAATAAATCAACCAGAAAACCATTAATTCTTAGTAGCAAGGGAAATCAAGAAGTTTTTGTTGATGTGTTAGTTATCTAGTGCTGCTATAATAGAAATATCATTGTGTGGCTTAAACAAACAAATTGCTAAGCAAACAGTTTAGGAGGCTGGAAGTCTGAATTCAGAGTGCCAGCCTTAAAGGAAGACTGTCTGTCTCTGAAGGCCTTGGAGGAAGGCCTTTGTCTCTTTTGAGCTTTTGCTCTTGGGTAACCTTCATGTGGCATGATATCTCTACCCCCACCCCCTGCTTTGTTCACTTGTTTAATCTCTTGTATATCCCAAAAGAAATTGACTCAAGATACACATCAAACATAACCCATTCCCAAGAAGGATTACACCTCAGGTTTAGAGGTTAGGATTTACAACACATATTTTGGGGGAACACAATTCAGTCTATAACAATTAATAACAAGAACTTCATTAAACATTTCTGTGACAAATTAATCAACACTGTTGTTCCCAACATGTACAATGCCTTCAAATTACATTTAGCTGATGGAAGAGAAGAAATATCAAAACAACAACAGAGAAAGGAAGTGAAGATATTTTACTATACCAAGTATATAAAGAAATGGTCTGAATACTCACTGTTCTTCTTGTACATCAAAATTTCAAAGGAATTCATCTCATAGTTCTCAAATGTTTGCCGCACCTTTTCAACTGTGTCTTTATCAGTTAGCTCCCCATACATAAAACTGCAAATCAACCAAAAGTTCAAGTTAGATTGTTGTTGCTGCTGTTAAGTGCCATCGAGTCACTTCTAACTCATAGCGACCCTGTTTCTGAGGAGCGACTGGTGAGTTTGAACTGCTGATGTTGTAGTTAGCAGATCAATGCTTATCCTATAGTGCCATACCAGTTAAATGAGTGAGTGTTTATTCTTCTACAAAAACCACCCACTGTCATCGAGTCAATTCTGACTTACAGCAACCCAACAGAACGAACTAGAACTGCTCCACAGGGTTCCGGAGGCTGTAATCTATACTGGGGCAGACTGCCTCATCTTTCTTCTGCAGAGCTACTAATGGGTTGGAACCACCAAGTTTTCAGTTAGCAGCCCAATGCTTAGCCCATGACACCACCAGAGCTCTTATTGTTTTACAAGTATACCTCTTTTCTACCCAGCATTGTATTAGGCACTATGGAACACACACACACACACACACACACACACGGAATGAAAACATGTGTTCATTTTAAAAAGATTTATTATTCTACTGTGAGCAAGATTCCATCCCTGTTTCTCAAAAACTAGCTGTCTAATGAAAGATGCCTATTAGTCAGTAGAAAGCAGCATAGATTGGGGCTACAATGAGAGTACTTGTAGGGAGCTACCAAGCGCATAGAATAAGCAGGGAGTACCATCTTGGAAGGTCAGAGAAGACTCCCCAAAGATCAGGGACATCTAAAGAGCAGGTGGACATTCTCTGAGAAAGGTAGGGTAACAAACATCCCAGAGATACACGAAATAACACTGCTACTTCCGGAGCCAGAAAGTAGTTCAAATCCATAAGGATGGAATAAAGATGAAGGGAAATACTTGCAAAAGATAGCATAGATGAGTAAGCAGAGACCAGATCACAGAACACACCGTGGCATTGCAAATCATGTGAGGTAATTTAAACTTTATCCTGAAAACAATGGGGAAATGTTGGAGGGTTTTAAGCCAAGGAGTACAATAATCCGATTTATATTTCAGAAATGCAACTCTGGTAAATGAGGACAAAAGAAATGTGGGTCATGGATTCTGCATTTTTTAATCCCACCAACAACAAAATAAAAAGAAACAGGGGTAAATCACAAAAATTCACCTGACAAAGAAACGGGTACAATTTGATCCTCTAAGAATTAAGAAACAACTAAGTCGCTCCTCGGAAGCCGTATGCAGGATCGCTGAGTTGGAACTGACTCAACGACACTTAACAACAACAACAAGGAAAGAAACAGAAGATTCAGCGACCATCTGTGAAGTTCCATTTCCTATCTCTCTCCCACCCCACCCCATCCCAGCCTCCCAACAAAAAACAATAGATATGAAAAATTTAGATGATAAAGTCCTACAAATTCTTACTAATACAAATTCAAGTTTGGAAACCTCTGGATAATAGTTGCATCTACTTACAAGCACCAGTTTTAGTAGAAGCAGAAAAATGGCCAAGACTGTCCATTATCCTGAGCCCCACAATGAATTAGGGAAATGGTCTAAAGACCAAGATGTGTCCCTCTGGGAAAAGGAGACACGCAAGCTAGGTAGTGGACGGTGGTATAGTACAGTAACAACATGCAAGAAGAGAAAAGCCATGTCTCGGTGGGGCTGGGAAGTCCAGTCTGTTGATAAAGGATGCTCCTGAACCCAGCATGTCCCTAACCATTCTGGACCCTCCATCTACAAGAACAAGGAAGTATATATAGCCTCTTGAGTCTCAGGTAGTATAAGAACGATGGTATGGATTCCTGAACAACACACTTTGCATCCAGGAAACAGAGCACACTTAGTACAACCTAACATTTTCTTCATGGTGTGAATCATAGAACTTCAGAGTTAAAAGAAAGAACCTCAGAAGCCACCCTTTGCAACTCCTACTCCAAAACTAAGCCACAAAGTAAAGTACTTGACACAGGAAAACTTGTCGCTTATTGCAACCTCAGAATTTCAGGGCTCTGTAAGAAAAGAACTCTAGCTGTTGATTTTAGGAAGCTTGTGTCACTTTTAGTTTGGGTTTTGTTTTCTTTGTCCTTCATCAGCCCTCTGAGAGGTATTATTATTTATGGTTGTCACTGTATCCATATCATGAACCACTCTACTTTACAGCTGTGCTTTTTACCCATAAACCAAGAAAAAAGACAACTGAGCTTGGTGAATTACCTTTTAAAAAAAAAAGAAAAAGAAAGTAAGGTAGTAAATCTAGCCTAAATCAGCCCTGCCTGAGAGCAAAAAGATTTCTCCTTGGAGCTAAAAACATAAACTCTATTGTGGTTTAATTTAGCCAGTGGCTCAGAGGGCTATTTAGCACCCTCCCACTTGGTCAGTCTGAGTATATTTGCTAGATATGTGACCTCCATTTAAGTGATTAAGTGAAGTGATGGCATATATTTAGCAATTTCCTTCACAAAGTTATCTGTCTCTTCAAATAAAATGTAATCATTATACCCAGTTCCAATCAGTCTTATGAAATTTGAAAGCTGTGGTTTCAAACTGGTAGGTCTGAGTTACCTTCACCTGGACATTAGATTTTAAATGGCAGCCAGGCAAGAAGTTAAAGAGGCTACTGTATTTTTAGGAATATAGCCAGTACAAAGGCTTTGCTTTGTTTTGTTTTGTTATTAGAGAAGGGAGTGAATCCACTCTCAGCTGATTAATAAGTTGCTTAGAATTGTGAGTAAAAGCAAAGTTGGCTAAATTAGCAAGTTGCTTTATCTGGTTTACTTTAAGTACCTGCTCACAATAAATTAAAGGCTACTAAGGGTGGCGCTGTGGGTTAATGCACTGGACTGCAAAGTTGGTTTGAACCACAAGGTTGGAGGTTCAAGCTCATCAGCTGCTCCTTGGAAACCCTATACAGGGTTGGTATGTGTCGGAACCAACTCTCTGGTACTTAACCACAACAATACCAAAGAGTCCTTGTGTGGCACTGTAGGACAAAGCACTTGACCTAAACCACAAGGTGGGTGGTTCAAGCTCACCAGCTGTTTCTCAGAAACGGGATCCGCTACGAGTCGGAACCGACTCGACAGCGCTTAACAGCAACAACAAGGAGTCCCGGTAGTGTAGTGAGTTATGCGTTGGACTGCTAACTGCAAGATCAGCAGTTCAAATCTACCAGCTGCTACGCATGAGAAAAATGAGGTTTTCTGCTCCAATAAAGATCTACAGCCTCAGAAGCCCTATACACAGGGTTGTTATGAGTTGGAACAAACTCCATGGCACACTACCACCACCACCAGCACACACTAAAAAGTAAAGCGAAATCTCAGATTTGTTCTGCATTATGTATCTGTAAATATATATATACCATGTTATTGTTGTTGTTGAATGCTGTCAAGTTGATTCTGATTCATAGCAACCCTGTCTATATAAGGTTTTTGAAGCTGCAAATCTTTGAGGGACCAGAAAGCCTCATCAGTCTCCTGCGAAGTAGCTGGTGAACTCAAACTGCCAACTGCTAGCCTCGTGGTTCAAATTGACCTTGCAGTCCAGTGCATTAGCCCCTAGGTCATGTTTTAGGCCTTCTTTTGTTTTTTGAACATAGTGCCTGACTTAGAGATGATATTGCAATAAACATTCCTGTTTCAATACTGAGTAGATAAAGTCCCCAAACCAAATAAATTATCTCCTTTGATCAAAAAAATACCATGATAGATTTTCTCAACAAAATAACCAAGCATAAATACCTGCAGGTACTGCTTTTTTGCATCACTTCTGCCCTGTGGTAGCCAGACAGCTTGCAAAATCCATCATTGCTATACACGATAGGCCAGTCCACTATCTGGGCATTCCCCAACACAAAATTTGTATCTGTATTAAAAAAAAATAAAAAGGGAAAAGACACATAAGGCAAGAATATTAGTTGAGAACCTAAGAGGACAAAGAGTAAAATGTTCACCTATCCAGGTATCTCTGCTTTTCTCTAAAACAAAGTCTCTTGAATGAGAAAATGGCCCTGTGAGGAATACAAAAACACAGTGTGTTAGAAATGAATGTTGTGAATGCAATGATAAAGTCACCGCATTCTAAGAAGTTAGCAAAGGAAACATGTTAAGTCAATCAAGCAATGAATCCTGCAGAAATCTAGCAGCTTCAAAAGGACATATTCAAGCCTCAATTTCTCAATCCAGTAAAAGCATATGGAGCCAGAAAGAAGCCCAAGTAATTTCTTCTGGATTTATCTGACATCTTTGCCTTGTTGTCCATCTTTTAAAAGGCCAGAAGCCACCACTGCACTTCTCAGCCCTGACTTTGGTATTTGCCCATGCTGGGAGAAAAAGGCTGTCTTAGGCAATGGAAGAGGGGCTGGGCACTGCCTCACAGAACCCACACACCAAACACAAGCCTCCCCTTTTTAAGGAATGCTCACTAGACTTGTGGACATTGACCCTAATACTCACCATGACCAAAACCTTCTCATGGATTTTGAAATACCACATCTATAGAAGCTGCATTTTGGATCTCCTTCAAGAAACACCGGTCTAGCACACATTTAGATGTAGGATTCAATTAAGCCAGATCTAGCTGGCTGACTTAGTGTATTCTCCACACTTTCTGCATTTTTGGAAGATCAGGAGCCTTCAACACTTCTTTGTTCAAGGAAATCACCTGTCCCACTTTTCCTTCTAAAGAATTAAAAAAACAAACAACACCCACAGAACTTCACAAATCTTGCTTCCACTTCAAAAACAGAAAAGGCATATACACCCATTATGTAGAGTGAAACAATGGTTATACGCAATGTCCTCATTCAATGGAGAGGTGTATTTGTTCTAAGATAGCATTCACAAGTTGTTGTTGTTGTTGTTAAGTGCCATCAAGTCAGTTCCAAAGCGACCCTGTATAGGGATTCTGAGAGCAAAAAGCCTCATCTCTCTGCAGAGTGGTTGGTAGGCTCAAACCGCCGACCTTGTGATTTGCAGTCCAGTGTTTACCCTACAGAGCTTCTGTGCTCCCATTTACAAGTTGTTGTTTTTGTTGTTAAGTGCTGTCAAGTTGGTTCTGATCCATAGTAACCCTGTATAGGGTGTCAAGGAAGCAGCTGGTAAGCTTGAACCACTAACCTTGTGGTTCAGACCAACTTTCCAGTCCAAATATCCTATCTATTTGGAGAACAGCAAGCAAGGGGGAGGTTAGAAATAAATAAATTTATTCTAGAGACTGGTTTCTTTAAAATAAAATTTTTTTTTAATTTTTGAATAGAATTTATAATTTTATTTTTTCATGAAAATCTAAACAACTAGCCCTTCCAGCCTTCTCTCTTGTATATTCATAAATATCTCTTCAATGCCAAACACAATGCAAACACAGTGCAAGATCTTGAAGATATTCAGAATGATGAGACGTGGTACCTGCACTCACAGAAATTGAAGTCAATCGGGACAAACAAAGAGGTGTGCTCTTAATTAAAGAAACAAGTAAGAAAATGATTAATTTCTGTTTCAGGAAGGTAAAGGATCACATTTGAGCTTGTTCAAGTCTATAAGGATGAGTAACATTCATTTAAACATTTCACAAATACCTAAACTATACCTGCCATGAAATACACAAAAACAATAGATACAGAAACAAAAATTTTATCCCAGCCTTTAGGAGGCAGGGTCCATTCCTGGCTAAGATTCAGCATGAGCAAAGACATGACACCAGAGAACACAGAGCATGTGGATGCAGACACAAAAAAGGGCAGCCAGGAAGAGTGGAGGGAGATGGATCTGGAGACAGACAGTGAAGTGTTGCGAGTGTCAAAGACGCTGACTTATTCTGAGGCAGAATGAGCCTTTATATTGGTCTTCTCTCATAAGCTGATCAACTAAGCCCTAAAAGAAGTACAAAATTCACCTCTGAGTATATATGAAGTCTAGTGTCAAGCCAATTCTCTTGTTGACTTCCTGAAAGAGTAATTAATTTACTTCAAGTGATCTACAGCAGGAAAGCTAATGAAAGTAATCAATACCAACTGTTTCATAGAAGATACCTTCCAGAAGAGACGTATCTAGAGACAAAGGGAGTAGACAGTCCAGATTTGAAGACACAAGTACGTTCACACAGTTTGAGGCAGGAGAGGAATTAAAACATCAAAGAAAAAATTAAAACTGTGTAGGAAGGGAAGCAAAATCACACTGTTGACTAGAGGAAGAAAAAAGAGGGGGAGAAGTGTAATCCGCTACAATTTGATGAACTTAACCTATACTTATGGATGTAGTAGCTCAAAAGAGAGAATGAATATTTACAGCAAGGATCAGTCCCATCGCCTCAGTACACAGGGCTGACAAGGATGGGCATCTTAGACATTGGGTACCCAGAATGGGGGTGGAGGGGCTACAAAGGCACGAAGTGACTGGCTTACAAGCTTTCAAGAGGGAGTCTTAGTTTCAGAGGGTACAGGGAAAGGTAGAATCTCCACTGAGTTGTTTCCAACCTGTCTGGATGGGGCTGGTGAAAGGAGATGGGGATAAGAATCTTGTGGTTCAATAGTGAATAATTGCTCTCAGGACTGACTGTGAGGGTTGCAACTGTAAAGGTAGACTTTTTTTAACAAAAGGAGGGGAGTGGTTGACTTTGCAGTCCAGGAGCTGAGGACCCTGGGACCATCAAGGGAGAAGAGCGGAGTTCAGGATGCTATCCAGAGAAGCAATGACACCAGAGATACAGGCAAAGATGATGACGTGGAGAAATGGAGTGGCTGGGGACCCTGGACTCAGGAAAGGAGAGGGGATATGTGCTGACAGCAGGGGTGGGGGGGGTGGGCTTGCAGGGTGTGCCCTTTGGTTGTTCGAATGCTTGCATATTCCTGAGTGCTTTGGTGTAATTCTGAAATAAAAAAATTAAAAAAAAAAAAAACACAGACGGAATGGAAGCAAATGCTGTTGAATGATGATGCATGGAGCAGATTGTAGTCATTACAATGAAACAAAATACAATAGGATAAATGTAAAGCTGGTGTTCTCCCATGTAAGCTATCACTCAATTCACAATAAAAAACTTAGGAAAAAAATTCTGAGAACAACAACAACAACAAAAAAGGTAGAAAGCATGGACTCTGGGGAGCAGAAGAGGGAAGGAAGAAGGCATAGGATGGTTCTTTTTCATTATAAGCTCTTTAGTTTGATTTTTTAACCATGAGCATGTATTACGTCCATAGAATTAACAATATATACTTAATGTTTAATAAATTTAGGCCGAAGACATTAATTTATTAATTCTTGACCGTTTACAAAATGAGAACAGAATACATTTCAAGCTCCAGATATCACTGCAGTTCCTCATAAAAGTATTCTGACCATCTTTTAAAGGTATTCATCATTCTTCAAGGACTCCCACTGTCTCTGAGGCTTGTATTACAGCCCTAACAGGAAAAAGCAATCCCACTAGCCTCTTCTTTGATTCTAATAAGGAAATGGAAAAAAATAGAATCATCGACCTATGGATCATCCATTCAGAGGATTCTCATTATAGAACTTCAAATTCCGAAACTTTCTTCTCATTGCTAATGAGTACAAGAAAGTATAGCTCCCAGGAGACAAGACTCCCTTACCACTCACTATGTGACAGAATGTCTAGGAATTCCCTTTTGATCTAGGATTTGAAGTGAATGGAGAAAAGAATTCTAGTCCCATAATAACCATTTGCCCCTTACAGTAAAGAAAGCTCTTTCTCCCTCTCCCTTGCTTCCTTCCTGCGTGAGCGCGCGCGCACATACACACACACACACACACACACACACTGCTTTATGTGGCTGGAGGAAGGGCACATTCTGGATGCTCTTCTAACTTACAAATAATTGACCAGAAAAACATCTACAGACCACACACTGTTTACAAGTTGGGGCTACACATACAAATAGCATTACTGTTGTTGTTAACTGCCTGCCCGCAATCAACTTCAACTCATGGTGAGCTATGTGTAACAGAACGAAACACTGTCTCTTCCTGCATCCTCCTCCTCACAATTTCCACCATATTTGAGTTCATCTCTATGGATACTGTGTAAATCTGTCTCCCGTACCCATAATGACCTTCTACTTCACCAAACACAATTCCCTCCTCTACTAATTGATCACTTGGATGACCTAACAAAAGCAAGTCAGTCAGACAATATCATGCAATATACAATATCCATAAGATTTTCAATGGCTCATTTTCACAAGGAGATCTTCGGGCCTTTCTTCCAAGTCTGTCTTAGTCCAGAGTCTCTGTGTATCTGTTCTCTATTTGCAACCCTCTTGGTATTTGAAGTACTGGCGGCATAGCTGCCAGCATCACAGCATCAAAGCGCCACACGAGGAGTACTACGTTGCTGTTAAGCATTGTCAAGTCAATTCTGACTCACAATGACCCTGTATAGGGTTTCTGAGGAGCAGCTGGTGAGTTTGAACCACCAAACTTCTGGTTCAAACCAACCTTTTGATCCCGCACTTATCCTACAGGGCCATACCAGGACTCCAATCTTGCTCAGAAATGACTTCTTCATTCCTCCAAGTAGTTGGCTATATTCCCAATGACTGGGAATGCCAAACAAGAGAGCTTCAGTGAAGAGACACAGACTTTCTAGCACAAATGTGCACTCTACATTCAATGATAAATGATTCTGGAATTATGTATCATTTTCCACACTCAGTAACCAGACACTTATGTAAACCTAAGCAAAATTTAATTAGGAAATTAACCCATTGCTTTAACAAAACATCAAAAAACATCATCACCCAAGTTCTCATCAGAATTGACCTGATTGGAATACAAGAGATTTCGAAGGCTTAAACTAAAAAACATTAGGAAACTTGCCATTCCTTCTCTATGAAAACAGCATCATCA